AATATATATAATATATACATAACTTATATAATATATAAAAATTTATATAATTAAAATTAAATATTTATAAATATTTAATTTTAATATAATGTAATAATATAAGTAATAATGTTATTATTATTTAATTATTAATGAATATTATTTATTAATAATTAAAAATAATATTATTTAAAATATTGTTAAATAAAATATTGATATTAAGTTTCTAGTTTAGCGGCTTTTCCCAATTTTCGTTATTTCGCTACAGTTTTTGCTACGGTTTCTTTTTCTTTTTCTTTAAAGTAAGTTTTTTGAAAATACGGTTAAAGTAAGTTTTTTTTAAAGAATTACACAACTCCGATTGGTTCTTTTTTTTTTTCGTTCTAAAGATAAATCGAGCCTCTCATTGAAAAACCGACGAAATGGCCAAAATTGAGAGAAGCTGATAGACCAAAAATAATAACGATTGAATAATAATAATTAAAAATAATAATCTGTATGATAATAAAAGTTAGTTTTACAATAATTAGTATCTCAAGTCGGTGTATTCCTTCTTTCACAATTAATTTCCACGTCGAAACAATTTCGGCTCCTTCGAAAGAACAGCCATCCGAGCTTGCTCCGTTTTTCGACTAACCGTATCAGTTGCCTTTGTTCCCTCGTCTTGTTTTGAGGGAGCCTCCGGTTCGTGGCCCAACGTGTTCCGAAAAAATTCCACGAACCATCGAGTTCGCTAGATACTTTTGGGCGGACTGTTTACCTGAGTAATTTGTCAGAGCACAATGTTTGAATTCGAAATCCTCGAATCTTTGAGGATCTCGGCGGCCACCTTTTAACCCATGCTTTACGACCGTGAAAACCGTCGTTTCTACTCGTTACAGATAGGACTCTCTTTTTTTTTTCTTCCATTTTTTCTTCCATTTTTTTTTTTTTTTTTTTTTTTTATCATTTCAAATATCTCTCCCTCGTTTCGTTATTTGGAAATTCCAAATGATCCCGATGAAAGAAACGCTAGACAAGAACGAACGCGTGTTGTCTTCGAGGCACGAACGTGAGATTATTTAAAAATTCCTGCGGAATCATTGTTGCGCGACGATGTTACTTTCGAATCGCTATTCCCGCTGCTTTCGACGAACTGACTCGTTGCGTCACTGTCGGAATCATTCGATTATCTAAAGGCGAACACACACGTTGAAACGTGCATCGTACTCTTAGATTTCATGAAAATTGCATCAGAGTCGGCTACCGATTCTTTGGTTTTTCGTGCGACGCCAATGTTGAAACACGCGTTAGAAAATGTCGGATCGTCTTCCAGTTTCAATGTTAGGAAAAATAGTAAAATAGAAAGTAATTGGTAAAAATAGAGAAAAATTAAATACTGAAAAGAAATGGGCAAAAAGATGGTTAATCCAGAGGAACAGATTTTTTTCAACTCCGCGTTATTAAAAGAGCTAAGGACGAGTGAACCTTGCGATTATAGAAATCGTCTGCGTACGGGTGACTCTGCTTTTCATTATCTGTTGAATGAAAATTCGCTCAAAGAGGAAAGCAGGCTGCCATCGAGTGTCAGATGTAAACAGATTCATGTTTGCCAAGGAATACAACGGCTGTTAAGTGGCAACAGTATTTCAGTGTTCAGTCGTGCGTGAGTCAGAAGAGTCACTCAAACACTTGGTACGAGACTCTATAAACGCCGGTACACCTATATTTTCCGGCCCGCATTCATTGCTTTCTCTCTCTCTCTCTCTCTCTCTCTCTCTCTCTCTTTCTTTCTCTCACTCAACTTCGCAAAGGAACGATTCGTGAGAACAGTTTTACAATTTTTACGACGTGTTGTTTCCTTCCTCTTGGTTCTCGAGACCATGCCAACAGCCACGGCCTGTCGCTTTTGAAAAACAAAACGGCTACATCAAGGCGGAAAGAGATTTCCATTTCGTCAAGTGCTCTGTCCTTTTTTTCATTTTTTCTTTTTTCTTTTGGAAGAGTTCGAATATTTATAGGCCTGTACAGGCTGTTTAATCTCTAGCGCAATTCTTGCCCCAAAATTGCAACGTTTTCTCAGTTTCAAGTATACTTGGCTGCAACTCGGGCAAAATAAATGACAAGCTTGTCAATTCTTAGTCATTTCTATCCAGTGATGTCGTCGTCGACCGGCGAGTTCAAAATGAAAAGGTGGCGACGTATTTATTGTATACGGTTCGGTCGCTCGTTATGGTCCGCGAAACCAATTGGCCAGCGGCCAACGGGTTAATCTCGTTACGCGCGAAACCACGAAGCAAACAAACAAATCTGTTTAACGCGAAACAATCATCAATCGTAGATGGATCATCGCCAGAGATAACAGAACGTTGTTTCTCCAGGGGTTGAAGAGCGTGACATTCGCGTCACAAAGACGACTGCCGAGAGTTCCTTCAGCCAAGTTGCATCGGTCGCTTTCGAATGCTTTCTCACCGGGTCAGCCAAGACGATTATTTACCCGTCTTAGTGATTACACGTTGGTCCACCATAGTAGGGAATGCCTCTAAATATACTGACAGCCTGGCGGAACTGCGACGCGGGCAACCTTTGTGCAGCGATTACTACTCAAATCACCGTAAAATTCTCGTGAAATGCGTTTCATTGTCCCGACGAAAAATGCAGGTAAAATTTAGACGTTTCTGTGTTGGCCGTGCGGGGAGGGGGAGCATTCTCTTTTCTCTGCCGACGGAGCCAAGAAAAATGTTTCGAAAATGTTTCTCTTTACGAAGGCGGCATTAACTTCCCTTCGCCGTTCGTTCCGTGTTCTCTCCTTGCTCGTCTCCTCTCATTAGCAATTTGTCAAACTAAATTCTCGTTTCTAAAATTTCAGAGAGAGTGTGAATCCTGGACGAGTCAAGAGTTCGATTAACATTTACTTTTTCATGAAAGATAGACGTAAGATGTTGAACAACATGGAGAGGAAGGAAGAGCTGAATTTTCTGAAAATCTAACGAAAAACACAGTCAAGGGAGCGTGTCTATTTAAACAATGAGATGATCCGCAACGTTTTATTTACACGTATTTAGAAGTTTATGTACAATATTGGCGTGGATTTGAATACGAAACACTGGCTGGAATAATATGATATTAATTAGATCGTTCAGACGTAAGTACAACTATTTTACACTCGTATGTACATTTGCCTATGCTAATTTGCCTCCAAACTTTCTCTAAAAGTTTGTCGAATACATTTTAAAACTCCGATTCACTTCATTTGAGTTACATTTAAGATGACCTCATATTGCCACGAATGCGACTAAAACAAAATGCACTTTGCATAAAGTTATTAACCAACTAGTCTTAACGTATCTACTACCATAAATGAAATTACAATATGCTTCATGTTGCGTCAGAGTTTGTCGTCGATTTTCTTTTCTTTTTCAGGGCTCTCGTAAGTTTCTCATAAGTTCAGGAGATAAAAATGTAATATATACAGACAGCTGTTAAAATTATTTCGCTTGCTGCTTAAATATAATATAATAATATAAAAAATAACGGGATATATTATCATTTGGTGTTCAACTTTCTCGTTGTGCACTATCCTTGCGATATGTTGTCATCACAGATTCTTTCGATCGATGTCAAATAGATTAAATAGATTTAATTTTTATTATTAAATTTTCATTTATCGTTTGCACTTTTGTCGACGTAACTTTGGAGGAACGTGTTCCCTCGTGAAGCGTGAAACGTCTGACCGAAGCTCGGCACATGCGTGAATTTCATTTCTAATGAAATATCGAATGACGTTTACCGATTAAGTTGAAATCTTGTTTCACGACTACAGAGGGATTAAAGAAGAATCAAGAGAGATCCTTCGAGAAGGGACGAAAGTCGTTTCTCCAAATATTTCGCAGTTATTCCCAATCTTTCATCAAAATCTTACAAAAATCTTTTTTACTTAGTATTTGCTTAGCATATGAATTTTCAATAAAATATCGAGGAACGTGTCGATTAAATTAAAATTTTATTCACGTTTACGTGACAGGCCAGAGAAAAATCAATATGACTCTTCGAGAAGAAACGAGATTCGTAATAAAATTCTCTTCATTCTCCAAATATTTTGCAATTAATCGCAATCTTCTACCAATTCTCTACTGAAAAATGATCCAGGTCGTTTTTAAATTAATACAGAGGTTGGGCCGGAATTCGTAGCACAACCGAGAAACAAAAAAATAAGAAAAAAATTTGGTATAACATTCTTTCATCTGGGGCTTCGTTTTCGAGAAAATCGACTTTAAAATTTGTTCATCTTTGCGAAACATTAGTTGTCTATTTTTCTACCGCTGTTGCTTTCCGTCCGAGATAGTGTTTACGAACATTATTTATTGTGTGGTTAAAGCAGTACAAAGTGTTCCTACTGATAATTAATTTTTTATTTCTTATTACTTTCTGTTGCAATACTACAATACAGTACACTATTGCAAGTATCGTTGAAAATGTCCTCCTAAGTATCGTTGCTGCATACATAAGTTTCCACGACGAATTAATCATATCCGAACAGAATGTAAGCTGATATCGTTTCTTAATCTCTCGAATTCCTCCATAGTCTTTTGCTTCGAATGTGTAATATTTGAAATATTGTCTTTATAAATTTGTTCCTTGATGAGCGTTCAGAAAATAAAATCTAGAGGCGTGAGACCTCGGTGATATCGAAACGATATCAGCTTACATTCTGTTCAGATATTAATTCGTCGAGCAAACTTAAACTTGCAATAGTGTACTGCATTGTAGTATTGCAATAGAAAGTAGTAATAAGGAATAAAAAATGGACGGAGACAACTAAATCGTTCACGAAAATGAGCAAACTTTAAAGTCGTTTCTCTCGAAAACCGAGTCTCAGTCTAAAAAAAAATGTTCTGTCAAATTTTTTTCTTATTTTTTGACGAAGAATCAACTCCTGCTCGGTTGTACTACGAATTCTGGCCCAACCTGTATACATATATATATATATATAAGCGTTCAATACTTAACATCTCAGAATCCAAACGAATCGAATCCTCGGTTCAAGCGGACTTGTACATGTCGCAGATGATCTTCTCGATCGGGATGACGCCGATGGTCCTCCTGAAGAACAGCTCCTCGATCGCGTGAGCGGAAACGGAGCGCAACGTGGGTAATAAAAGGAGCAACTTGCCGAACCTGAGTGCGCCAAACGACGTGGCGCTCAGTTTCTCGCCAAGTGTGAGCTGCGCCCCGTCTCTCAGCCTGGCCACCACAGCCGGGTCCCTGAGCCGACTTCCGGTACTGGGAGACGCAGACCCGTTGCTGCTTGCGCTGCTTGGCAACGGGTCGCTGTCCAAGCCAGCCTTGAACAGCACGATCGCTCTGATGCACGCGAACTCGTGCTGATCGAGGCTCATCGCGTGAAAGCCGGCCAGCGTCTCCCTGAATCTGTTTACTTCGACCGCCAGACCGAGACCCTGAGGACCCGGCGGCAGAAGGGCGGTCGGATCCAACGTTGGCAAGATCTGCGCGGCCGCCAGGAGGAACAGCTCTCTCCACGAGGACTCTAGCAGGGTCAGTTGATCCTCGATGACCAGGTTCGTCCCCGCGGTTAGGTCTTTCGCCCAGTGAACGTTGAGGAACAGTAGCCTGGCTGCTTGCTCGCAGATCGACTCGGCCGTTATCGCCGGGATCAGCGACAGAGACGTGAGGCCTGCCATATTCACTGGAATCTGGAAATTTGCACGATCGGAATTTAGGTATCGTAGGGTTAGGTTGTGAACGAGGGTGGTGTTCGGTGGCGTTTGAAAGTTTGAACGCGATGTCGAAACAAGTGATTCTCGATCGAATCGACGGAAGTTACAATTGCTGTTGTTCGATGATCGAACAAATTTGTCGTACTTTGGGCATGACCATGCTGTTGCAGTAAATGGGGTGCGGAAGGGGATGATGAGGGGCCGGCGCTGCCACGGAGACACGAGGTTCGGTCGGTGGTTTGGGCAGAGCGAGATCCAAAGCTGCTCCTCCTGGTGGGGGCATCATGTTAGCCATCATTTCGGGTTCTTTAAAGTACAAGGCCATCTGCCTCCGTAGAGTCGAGTTTCGTGGGCCTCGTTCGTGTTGCACAGCTGGCAAAATACGAAAAAATTTGCATTACCACGTCGTTTAGATGCTACGTTTATTTACATTGCGTTTCGCGAAAGAAGGTCCAGCGAAAGAAAGTTTCATTGTATTCAAACTATACTGTGGTTATTCGAAGCTAATAGTTACACAGCTGATAAAAGCTGAAGCTGTTCTTCGGGATATATTCGAACGAAAAGACAATTAATTAATTAACTATTAATTACCATCCTTGTTCATGCCGGCCTGAATGCACTTGGCCAAACGACACGCTCTACATTGGTTCCGGTGCGTCTTGTCCACCATGCAACCTCCTTTGGATTTCGCCTTGCAGACGTATTGACGATTCCTTCGTATCGATCTCTTGAAGAAACCCGCGCACCCGTCGCACGCGAATATCCCGTAGTGCTTGCCGGAGGAATGGTCCCGGCACACTTTACACGGGATATCGTAAAGAATACGACCTGCAACAACAAATACAATGAACGCGGCTCGCTTCGACGTGTCTCGGATCGAGCCGTTAACGCACGGAGTCGCGTCAGACGTCAAAACTCTCGCGAAAATTTCCAATATACATCCACACTAACCTCGTCCAATTATCGAAATCTCTTGTGTTCCCTCCCCCCCTCCCCCCCTCCAACAGATATATTCCCCCAACAGAACTCGACGTGAACAGAAGGGAACGAGCGTGAAGAAGAGCGAAAGAATGAATTTCCGCGGCCATCGGCGCATTGTTACACATTGTGCCGATGTGACCGGCGTAGAATGGGGAAAAGGCGCGTTTAAGCTGGATGAATGCCAGTATTTTGGATCGGGGAACCCGTTTACCAGCGAAAACACGGATCCGGTGAATGACGTCGCCGATGAATGGATCGATTTGTCGCCAAGTTAGAAACGACCTTCGTGGACGTACGCGTTCTTCTATACCTGTTCGACGCTGGGCCCTCTATGCACGGGACAGCGTAAGGGTGTGGTGCTCTTATAATGGGGGGGCACCAACTCGTTGTCACGGGCCCCGCCTACGCCATTGAGTCCGGCGAGGCCGATGAATGGGGCTGAATGGACCGGATGTGGCTGCTGCATTCACCGGCTCTTAAGTGAGCAGCCAGAAACACGACACTTCGCTCGTATCGCCCGATCTCTCCCTTGATCGGCCTTTCCCTCCGTTTCTTTATCTTACTTAACGTGGATCTTATTATGGGAGAAGGTTAAACGTTTTCGTGGCACTTTTTTCTTTTTTTTTTTTCTTTTTCTTCTTTTTTGCTTCCCTCCCCCACACCCCTTTCTCTTCGTCATGCGAACTGAAGGGAAGCTTCGCGGGGGGGGAAAAAGTTTATCGACGAGCCGCAGATTCGCTGTTGACCAGCCGACAGACTCTGGGTTCGTTCGTATTGACAGATAAGGGAAAGAGATTTCCTTGGGACTCTTTTTTCTTCTTTTAGCGCCGCTTTCTTTCGCTTCGCTCGAGAGGCTCAGGTCATACTGACTGAAAGTTCTTTTCAAGTATATTTCAGGAGAATCAGTAGGTATATTATCTGTTATCTTTGAACGTAAATATTATACGATTCGTAGCAATCGAACGAATCTGAAAATATCACGGACCAGAGGATTATACATACAAACGAATGTCTGTCGATGTGGCTAGAAACCTTAGGAACTACCTGTTGATCTCGATGAGATTTCGGGACAACCACGTTTCGATCTAAGTCCATCGATGTTACACCGGGTGACTTTAAATTTCATATTCAACGGAAAGAGAGATGGGCAAACGCCGTGGTGGACAGAGTGTATTTTTCGCGTAAATTATCGATGAAAACGCAGGCATTACACGAAACACGATGCGCGCGTACTAACTACTGCAACAAGCGGGTCGCAATGACAGGGGGTGCACCCTCGCACATCACTAAAGACCCTTTTCTCCCACGATGAAGGGAAAGTTGAATCGCAGCCACGTATACTTTTCACGTTCAAAAAGAGTTCAGCCAAAAGTGTCTTTTCAAGAAGCGAAAAGGCAGAAATGGCCTTACCTAAATACTGTGCCCATTGAAACAACTCTTACGAACGATAATGTCCTAATTTTTGATCAAGAAATTCATGAAAATTTTGCAATTTCATTTTGTCAAATCTCGGTCGATAAATTTCCACGAATACTTTTTCAAAGAACTTTGAAACAACGATTTAAGAAATTATACGATGAAATTATTAATTTTGTTAATTAATTCCCTTTACTCGCACATAAGTAACATGTATATTTAAGTGTGTGTATATATGTATTCGATTTTTTAACTCGAACAGATATATGTACATAACACAATATATGTCAATTTATGATATAATGTATTGTATAAAATGTCTACTTGTACATATAAATGTAAATGTATAATAGGTAAAATAAATAATTGTAAATGTATAATAGAATATAATACTTGTATTTAGTTAATACATATAATATTAGTATAATATTAATATTACTAATATTAGTATAATATTAGTAATACTTATAATGTTAATAATATTATTGGTTAGATTTAGTATAGGTTATTATATATTATATTTATGTATATTAATTTATATTTTGTGTATACTTACTTTATACTTAATTTATACTTACTGTATACTTAATTTATATTTTCGTATATACTTACTTTCTACTTTAGTAAATATAAAAGTTTCATTAGATAATGTAAACCTAACCTGATCTAAACTACACTAAACTGAACCTAACCCAAACCTACACTGAACCGTTTTCTTTTTTTTAACGTGGAACTTATACTAAACCTCACCTGATCTAAACTAAACTAAACCCAACCTAACTTAAATTAAACTAAACTAAACCTAATGTACAATATTATTAATATTATAAGTATTATTAATATTGTACTAATATTACTAATAACATAATAGTAATAACATAACCTAATCTGAACTAAATTAAACCCAACCTAACTTAAACTAACTAAACTAAACCTAACCAACAATATTATTAATATTATAAGTATTATTAATATCCTATTTATGTATATTTGTACTATATTTATGTATGTTTATTTGATTCGAAGAAACAAAAATTGAGTTAAGTTAAAAATCTAAACTAAATTAAACTCAACCTAAATTAAACTAAACTAAACCTAACCTACAATATTATTAATATTATAAGTATTACTAATATCCTATTTATGTATATTTGTACTATATTTATGTACTATGTTTATTCGATTCGAAGAAACAAAATTGGATTAAGTTAAAAATCTAAACTAAACTAAATCCAACCTAAATTAAACTAAACTGAACCTAACCTACAATATTATTAATATTATAAGTATTACTAATATCCTATTTATGTATATTTGTACTATATTTATGTACTATGTTTATTCGATTCGAAGAAACAAAATTGGATTAAGTTAAAAATCTAAACTAAACTAAATCCAACCTAAATTAAACTAAACTGAACCTAACCTACAATATTATTAATATTATAAGTATTACTAATATCCTATTTATGTATATTTGTACTATATTTATGTACTATGTTTATTCGATTCGAAGAAACAAAATTGGATTATGTTAAAAATTCAAAGTTACCGGGCACGCCGACTCTCGTGAACGAAAGCCACGAACAAGAAAGAATAAAGCCATCGAGGATTTGTCAACCGGCCCCGAAGCAAACTAATATCGTCGTCGTTGCTTGGTATAACGCAAGAGAGTGTATCTCGACAACACGTTCGAGACTAACTCGCCACAGAACGACGAACGAGTGGAGAAACAGAGGCGTGCACGAAGGAACGCACATGCTCGCCGATGGAATCACGCGATGCACACAATATATTTCTACGAGCCGATGTCCGAGCGTTGCATCAAACTTGCATTCGATGCGGCGTGGCTCGCGAGTCATTCGCGATTGAATTTTTCATTGTCGTCGGAATCGAGGTCTATGTTTTGCCGATGAGCGGCCGGTCATCTTTCCTCCGTCGCTTTCCTTTTTCCGTTGGCTCGTCAATCATTCATGGAATTTTTACAGTGTTCGAGGCTCGACCCTCGGCCGGAAAGGAGGCCGAACGCGTAGAAAGCGCATGCCTGCTTGCGATTAACCACACGCAAATCGCGAATGAAAAGAAAAGAAGAAAGGAGGGGCTGCAAAATCCAATGATTTTTCCCTACGCTGTCTGTTAATTTCATTGTTTTACGACTCGGTCGTCATTGCTCGCTATGAAATATCGTTTTGATTTGCCTCGTCGCTTTCATTTGTCAAATAAACGCCAAAAAGTAACTGCGTTTTCTTGTGTGTGTGTGTGTGTGTGTGTGTGTGCGTGCCAGTAAAAGATGAATTTTTCAAGAAAAAAATAGAAAAAAAACTTTACGGGTCTTAATATATTATGTATTTGTTCGACTGCCTTTTGCTGTCTTTTGAGGATCCCGTGTTTGGAAAAGTCCTTGTCTTTTGAGGCAAAAAGCAGTTCCGAGAACACAAGATTCAATGTCCCCGTCAGCAAACCAATTTCTGACATAGTTCTGACGCAGATTTCATGTAAGCGTACATTCATATGCTCAAAAATTCAGCATTTGCCTTGTCCTTCTGCTGTATCAAGCACTTTGAAATCGTACAATTTATTTAGATGAGTTGTTGCTAACAAATACGTACAACTATGTACATACACCGAATTCTGTTCCTTCCAGTTAATTATTATTATTAAATAATTAATTTCGGGGTTGATTCGCATGATGGACGTGATTCACTCTTGCCGAAGCGACAGTCCATTCGATATTTCTTATACTTCAAAGCCCATTGGTCGTGTAACTTCGATGTTACAGGTTCGTGACGACTAAATTGAGGGAAAAGTTCGCCGCGAACCTATATAACGGGGTGAAAGGATGAAAAAGAAAGGGTGAATTGTCGTGCACTCTGTCGAACGTCGAACGTGCAACGAGGAGTTGAGTATAATTTTAAGTTCTTTCGGAACTTCTTCGTAATGACCGGACAAGTTTCCTCGAATAACGTGTAATTGCCGCGTGTGTTCGAACATGACAAAATTACCCATCCTTTGCTTCTCTATTTTATTTACGTCGAACGCGTTATTAAACACTATTGTTTCTATCTTAACAGAAGTTATTAATAACAGTTATTCTCGTACGGCGTACGAATGGAGAATTACCTAAAACCGTTCTTCACGTTTCCGATACTTACATGCGTCAACCCTTCCATAAAAGTGGCTTCGGAAAGGGGTAGAAAATTTTATTTGCTAGATAAAAAAAAAAAAAGAAAAAAACGAAATAGTATTCGGTTGGGATAATCTTCCCTTGAAATTCTACTAACTAACTAAAAGGGGAAAAATTCTGGGATCCTAGTTAAAGGGTTAAGCCTTAAGACTAAGTTAAAGGGTTGAACCTTAATGTTATATACAGTACATAATATTATTATGAGGGTAAAATCTTTCTGCGCGTGTTTAATTGTCCCTTCGAAAGT